ATTTAAGCCATTTGCCCGGGCCCCCCTCTGTTTCTCGCGGGGTGCCCAAATGAATAATACCCGGCCGGGTATTTCCAGTCATGGCCGGGTATTTTCATGCATCAGCCGCCTTCGACACAAATTCGCTCCTTTCGACCCAGAACTTGTTTCTCCGCCTCGATTCCAACGTCGGGACCTGAAATATGACATAAACACACACCCTAGCTTGAAATCGGCTTAAAACACTAGAATCCACATCTCAAACGGCTTCAGAAAAGGGGTGAAAACATGTGTAAATATCGGTCTATCAATAGTGGATAAGTTTAATTAATCAACCCGGGGTCTAGATCTATTGCTTACTCCGTAAACTTCTATTATCTAGCGAGACTAAGTGAGTGAAGGTGAATTCAAACAAAAACAGAAAGAAAGCAGTAAATTGTCCGGCCTCCTGAAGCAAGAGAAAAGTCACTCGGGAATGAGTCCCCGTAGCTCCTTAGTTAGGTCCAAGTTGTAATTTCCTTCGTTTGATTCACTGTTGATTAAACTGCAGAAGATCCGACAGTAGCTTGGAATCTCTTAAGCTGACCAAGCCCTCTCAGACAGACTAACCAGCAGACGACTAGTCTTTACCGGGATAGAATCTTAAGGCAATGAACACAGAACTCCACTACTGGAAACAGATTCCAGTATAAAGCAGTGAATTGACTGACTCTCGTGGAATCAATTCACCCTTATCAATTGAAGAAGCTCTAACAACCTATTCAGAATCTATCAATCACAGGTTAAAGCAGAAATCAAGAGAAGTTGATCAGGATTCAATTGACTCAATAAACACACTTCAATCGATTAAAATCAATCAGTATATCATCCCAAAATTTATTACAATCAAAATCTCTAACACATGGAACTAGGGTTCTTCATACCTAAGTGAGAGATAGGTCTACTCCATAGAGAGAGAGGGGAACATAAATCAAAGCAGTCATACTCATAAAGATTGGAATAATCTACTATGGGATGTCAATCTTCACTCCTAGGGATGCAATCTGGGTTTCAATGGTGAGAAATCCACTCCAAAATAGCTCCTAGGGTTTGTTCTTCGCACTTTATCTCTCTAGAACTCTGTTTTTGCTCCAAAAAGTAGAATCCCCTTCCTTTGGGTCGAATCTACCTATTCAACCCGATTCTAGGTAAAATATGGGCAGGAATACGGTCGTAATTCTTCCATGTCCGTAGTTTGCCCAAAACACGCGTTTTGGTCAAGTCTCAGCGCATCCAAGGGCTCCTCTCGTTAGTGAAATTACGAGCTAGACAATGAGGAATACGACAGTATTTTTGGGAATACTGGTCGTATTTTGTACCTAAGCCATCACCAAGCTCGGCATAAAAAATACCAGCAGTAATTTGTGAATTACAGCCGTAATTTGGGGAAGGTTGCCCGTATTTCTTCCTCATCTCCACTTTTGACAGGTTTTTGAGTGAGCAAACGACCTCTTTAATGACCGGAAACTTGGGCCTATGCCTCCCTTTACTTGCTAGGACCTGAAATATGACAAAATAACACAACCTAGCGTAGAATAGGCCAAGACACTACAAATTCGAGCGAAAATGCTTAAGAAACAATGGTGCAAACTTGTGCAAATATGGTGCTATCAGGTTGTGCAAAAGCTTTGTTCTCATGTGTGCTTAAATGAATGGATGTCTTGACTTGGTTACTTCTTGATTACGATTGCCATGCATTGAATTTTTTAAAATTGGAATAGATTATTGGGCGGCTAGGTAGCCATGTGAGTTTTGTGTCGATCGTCTTTTTCATGTGTGATAGATCCCTCTTGCCATGGTGTGTGTAACATTCACCAATGTCACTAGTGAGTATGATGGAGGCATAGGATTAGTCCACACCCAAAAGTTGATTGTCCCAAAACATTTTATCCCCTAGTCAACCCCTTTAAGCCGTGTGACTTTGGGGGTCATTCTAATGCTAGGAGCTTCGTGCTTGTTTAGCTTAATGGTGATTGAAAGAACGACCCCCAATCATCCTTTCTTCGTGTCAAAGTTTAAGTCATTTTTGTGTCTCGGACTTCTCTCTTTTGAGCTCCATTGAGGTTCTACATAGGTGGTTTTGCACGGTTCTTGCTAGAAATGAGAAGATAGTGTTGGAGGAAAGTTCTTAAATGGAGAGCATTGTTCGTTAAATAAAAGAAGTGACATATGTTTAGCTCTCTAGTACCCCACTCGAAAGAAAACAGGAAGAAAAAAAGAAAGAGCAAAAAGAAACGAAAAAGAGGTAATAAAGTGGGGTAAATAAAAGTAGAGAGTGGCCACAAAAGTCTAAGTATATGCTCTAGAAACGGTTTCTTGACACCCAAGCCATGGAAACACCTAAATTGTTTGATGACCTCCTTCACTACTAGGTTTGAGATGTGAATAGCAAGATAGGCCGAAGAAGTGTGTTTGAATGTATTTTGTGATTGGTAGTGGTTTGGAAGAAGGGAAGTGTGGTTTTTGGCCGATGCTAGCGGCCTTTGTTGTAGGAAAGGTTCTTAGTCGAGACCATAGAACCTTGGGTTTTAGGTTGAAGATGTAGGACCTTATGTCATGTTTGTCACCACCCAAAAAGCCTTTTCCCCATGTCCAAGACAATTGCCAGTCATTTGAACCCGTGTCTAAGACCTCCGGACAAGCTAGTGATGACAACCGTCCCGTGAACTCTAGCATTTAGAGGTTGCCACCGTGGTGGAGAGACGATAGGGCTGAGTGTTAATGATTGTGCACATCTTTTGCACCAAAAAGGTCCTGACCCCACTGGTCGTGAGTGAGTGATTCATTCTTGTTTTGCATGTTCATATCCTACCCCAGTGAGGACCTATGTTGCCCCGTTGTCGGTTCCTTGGACTTGAGTTCTATGCATGGTTAGTTGTGGTTGGTGAGTATTCCGATCGAGACTTGCATTGATTTGTGAACAGGGTGAGAACTATTCATTTGCCCATTCTTGATGCAATCAAATGTCGTTTGTGGTGGATGTTGGTATTGTTTGAGGCAGTTCGTGTGTTGATGCCCAATAGACATTGAGATTCACCACTTTGTGCCTTTTGATTTGTCCCCAAGTTATCTTATTAGGTTGAGATATCACCTAGTTTGAAAATGGTTTGCTTGGGGACAAGCAAACGTCTAAGTGTGGGGGAGTGATTCGGGCTCATTTGTACACTTTTTACCCCTCCCCCCGATTTGCTTAGTCGTTTGAAGCATTTTACTACGCGGGGTTTGTTTTTACGTCGGGTTTTGCCTTGTTTTGGTGTTTTTCAGACTTTGGCAGGTAGAACCAACCCCGGAGTCGAAAGTTAGACGAAAGGGCGAAAAATCAAGTCAAAGGGTGGAAGTAGCAGGAGATCACGGTTTCGGATATGTGTTCACTGTCACTAAGACCGAGAATTGGAGGTGCTACCCATGAACAGCCAGGCATCCAGAGCACAAATCACTTTCACTGGACACAAGTTAGTTCACGGTCGTAAGACCGTGAACTCAGGCCATCACCCGTGAACTGGACTTAGTGATGCTGCGTATTTCGACTTGAGATCACAGTCCGGGCTTTCAGTTCACGGTCGTGAACTAGGATCGTGATCTAGGCCCGATCTGGGTATATAAAGGAGGTTGAGCTGAAGGAAAAAAGGAGAGACCTGGTGTGAGAAACTTCTTCTTCTTCTTCAAATTGCTAGAGTGAAAAAGAGATGAACCAAAGAAGAGAGAAGCTAGGGTTCATCTTCAAGCAATGATTTGGGAATTCCTCCCCCAAAGGAGAATCTCTTCAGCACAAGGAGCAAGGCTAGCATCCCATTGATGGTTTTCCTTCTTCTCTCTTGTGTTTCCCTTCTCCTAGCATGGAGTAGTCCCTTCTTTCACTTGGGTGTTTGTAAACCCTAGCTACAACTATGTGAATGTTTGTATGGATTGGATGATTTTGTGTGTGGCGGTGTTTAATGTGAATGTGGAGGTATTATTCATGAATGATTGTGTTGTGTTGTGTGAAAGTCTATCAATCTAATTGTCATTCTAACCTAGGTAGAGAGAAACCCCTCTTCCTTTCTTTGAAAGAGGCTTGAATGATGGGTTAGGCGATTCGTTGTCTCCTATCTTGGTTAATGCATGGAAAACCTCTTATTTTGTATTAGCACCTAGGGTTGGTTGTGGGTGGCCGTCTGAACTCCGATTCGAGGGTGAAGTCTTGGCAAACCTTAGTCAATAGGTCGAGAGAGTCATGTTGATGGTTTGAATCGAATTCCCTTCCCTCGACCTAGAGACCGAGAGAGTGGCGCTTGGCTACTTTTTGCACTTCCCTACGGTTTACAACCCCCTTACCACACATGACCATTCGATCCAACAATTCATAATTGTTAGCTAGGGGGAGCAACACCCGGGTGAAGCCTTCTCAGTTAGTGTCAAATCCATTTACCTTTGCAAACGTTTTAGCTATAGATAGTTGTTTTCACCTAAAATCAACCATTAGATAATGTTACAAACAATCAAAGTAGAGGTACATGAACCGGCCTGGGTCGATATTTAAAAATACTTGCCCTATACTGCACCCAATTAAGGTTTATGTTAATTAGGCCTTAATTTGGAGTTCTATTGTGGTATTCAGGACGAGTCATTATGTCAATTTTATTTTCAACCAACTAAGTGGCTGCAACATTAACATCATTAATGATTATTCACAAGTGTTATGACCATTACGAATACAATGTTCAATTATTCAAAAAAACATTCTCATAATTTCAAAATTTGAAAAATAATGCCATTGCCACCTTTGTATTATATAAAATTAAATATTTTAAATAATTTTAAAATACACAACGTAACTAACTACGTTATATTCATATGACATTCCAACCGGTCGGACACCAAACTACTTTAGCGAGAATGTGACAAGTGGTCACCCTATCTCAAGTCTCAAACGATTAACTGTCTTCCGGTGTCAAACGACCCGCCTAACCATACGATGCCGTGTTTGACATTTCAGAGAGCAAAGCAAATGTCTCCAGAGTCCAGACTCGACCCTCTGGAATCCTGTTCAGCTCAGCACTCCCCGCTCCCGAACACACGAAACGACTTTGAGTTAGACTCGCTCTCTCAAACAATTCCCTCTTTTCTCTCTCTCTTCCGATTCTCCTCAAGATTTCCTCCGACGACGAATCCACCATGGCCGGCCAGCGCAACGACTACGGCAAGAGATCCCATTCACAGTCCGACTACGGGGGCGGCAAGCGCCGCAACCCGGCGGGCGACGAGACCGGCGAGCTTCAACACGGGATTGGCAACGACGACACAGTCTACCGCTACTTGTGCCCTCTCAGAAAGATTGGGAGCATTATCGGACGTGGCGGGGAGATCGCCAAGCAGCTGAGGGCCGAGAGCAGGTCAAGTATTCGAATCAGCGAGTCGATTCCAGGGTTTGACGAGCGCATTGTCACGATTTACAGCTCCAGCGAGGAGACCAATTCGTTTGGGGAGGACGAGGAACTGGTCTGCCCCGCTCAGCATGCGCTCTTTCTCGTTCACGATAGGGTTGTGGCGGAGGAGCTAGGAGGTGGTGGCACTCGTGGTGGTGATGGTGGTGGTGGGGGTAGTGATGAGGAAAGGGAAGAAGAGGACGAGCTTGGAGAACTTCAGCAGAAGCAAGTCACTTTAAGAATGCTTGTTCCTTCAGATCAGATTGGATGTGTTATTGGGAAGGGCGGCCAGGTGATTCAGAACATTCGGAGTGAGACCGGTGCTCAGATTCGGATTCTGAAAGATGAACATCTTCCCCCTTTTGCCTTAACTAATGACGAGCTTCTCCAGGTAAGCTCTCCTTCCTTTTTACACCTTTATACTTCTAATTTGAGATTGCCGAGTTCATTAACGTGCAATTACTTTCTATATGAGTAACGCCTCTTTCCAGTTCTGGAAACTCTTGTGATTCAGCGTGGTTAGTTTTTGCCTCTTTTTTCTTACCGTTGGTGGGTTTGTGTTTTAGATTGTAGGAGAACCTACAGTCGTTAAGAAGGCGCTTCTTCAAGTAGCGACTCGCCTTCATGTGAATCCTTCTCGCTTTCAGCATTTGCTTTTGTCTACTTCCAACAACCCGTATCAATCAGGTGGCATGTTTGTAGCACCAAATGCAGGTGTCCCGGCAATGGGTGCTTATGGAAGCTACAAAGGTGGCTGGCCATCCTCGTACCCTGAGTCAAGAGATGATGGTGGTTCTGCTAAGGATTTTGCTGTTCGTTTGCTCTGTCCAATGGGAAATATTGGAAGTGTGATTGGGAAAGGAGGTGTTATTATCAAACAAATTCGTCAGGAAACTAGGGCTTCCATCAAAGTAGATAGCTCGGCCGCTGAAGGAGATGATTGTATTATCTTTATATCAGCAAAAGAGGTGGGGTATCTCTTTTTATCTTTATGATACCTGTGGCAAGGGGGGTGGGGGGTAAGTGGGGAATTATTGTAGGGCACCAACGGCCCCCATGGTTAAGAAAGCCTATAAATTGTTTCAGTACCATTATTGACCAACTGGGCATGTGTTCTAATAGGTTTTGGATGATCAATCTCCAACCATCAATGCTGCACTGAAATTGCAGCCTCGATGCAGTGAGAGAACTGAAAGAGACTCTGGAGATTCTGTCCTCACAACCCGTTTACTTGTACCAAGATCACAGGTCGGATGCCTTATGGGTAAAGGTGGATCCATTATTTCTGAGATGAGGAGTGTAACTAGGGCAAGCATAAGGATTCTTTCAGAGGATAATCTTCCCAAGATTGCCACTGAAGAGGATGAAATGGTGCAGGTGAATGATCTAGAGCCATATATGTTGTGCTTCCCTTTCTGTGTGTGGCTGTGCGATTTTACAGCATTCTTACATTTCTTCTTATTTTATTTTTATAATGATTCTTACATTGCTTCTTTCAATGCTGTTAGATCACTGGAAACCATGATGTTGCCAGTAATGCCCTTTTACAAGTAATGCTAAGGTTGAAAGCCAATGTATTTGGAAGAGATGCTGCCTTATCTTCATTTCCTCCGGCTCTTCCATATGTCCCAATGCCCGTGGACATGTCAGATGGTCTGAAACATGGAGGCCGAGATACTCGTGTACGTGGTGGATACCCATCATCCTCTGGGACATATGGCGACGATTATCCCAATTCATTTGTGAGTTTTTCTTTGTTTTATCAGGGACAATATCTGCAATGTGGCTGTTCTTAATTTTCTATGTACTTGTCATGATTTTCAGGGTGATGGAGAAACTGGTGGTTATGGTGCATATGGCAGCTTGTCTTCTGGTCGATCCAGCAGTGCTGGGTATGTATTCATACTGTTGAACCTTTGGAACTAATTAAGAAACCCTTAGTTGTGTTTATTCTAGCTTCAAGTGCTTCTTATCAGTAATGGATTATCCTCATATGGTAACCTTCAATATCAAGAAGGCCTTTCAATGCTGACATTGCTATCCTTTAATAGGTTGGCAGGCCAAAGCCCCATGTCACAAAGAAAGCATCATGGATATTAGTTTCCATGATCTCGCAGCAGGTAGTTGACCTTCAGTCTTTTCCATAGTTTTGGTAGTAACTGAACGGCATACGATTAGCTGTTTGTTCTCATTTGAAGGACATATCACCACAATGATGATGTCTTTTCCAACCATCCTAGTTCTAGAATTCTAATACACCTTTCTGCCTGTGTTGCCTTCCCTCTGCAATCTAAACAGCAACAATCTACAAATCCCGAAGCCTGCCCCTATGCCCATTTGATGAAGCCTTCAGCCTAGAACAGAAAAAGCTCACAGATGAACTGCGTTTGAGAAAAATTGTACTTCACCTCGGTCCACCCCCATGATGCTTACTTTGGACCTTCCGTGAACTGATGATGCAACTGATCATTCAAATTCTGGACCTTGACACGATATTTTAAGTTTTAAGCTGCCCGTCCCAGCCATTATTTATGCCTATATGGTATGTTTTTTATGTAACAGCAATAATAGGTAGCTCTGTGTGTCTGTATGATGTTTGCAAATTAGTCTTCTTCCTTGGCTTAGATACTCAAATAGCAATTGGTTGTTGTTGTTTTCAATCAGCATAATGGTTGAGGTATTGGTTGTATAATGTACACTCATTCTATTCTTTCTGTATCATCATGTCATTATAGGTTTGCTTGATTTGTTTTGCTTCTTGTGAGATCTGCCTCTACTTGCTGTATGATTCCACACTTAAGAACTGGAACCATCCATTGTTTAATATCTTCTTCACTATATCTGGGCGCGGTATTACTTGTGATATGAGGTTTAGTTATTTGACAGTATGAGAAGTAGTTTGTGAGTTTGAAACACATCTTGTTATGGTATGTGTTCCGGTATGTTGTGGGGATATAGCAATTGAGCAGGATTCGAGGTAATTGTGCATATTGCGGATGATCTCGTTCAAGATCTGACAACAGTGAAGGTAAATCAAAGAGGGGATTTTGTTTCTATAGATTGCTTCAAGTTCCATAGGCCTCTTGGATTGTGCAATTTAAGTTGCTTCATGAATTTCCAAGCTCATGCAGGGTTGACGTGTGGTTGATGTACTTGGGATGCCAAGAATAGAAGGGCTATGTATTTCTGCTGTCCTTCTCTAACATTGACTGCCTTTATTAGTAACTTACACACTGAAGGGTTATGTATGTATTTGCTTTGGTGATGACTACTGAAGTAGGATTTGACATAGATACAGTCCTTGGACTGCATTTAGTTGCATGAAGACTGATACCATCAATTGGACTAGGTCATGGAACCATTGTTTCTGATGAGTGGCCAGCAGCCAGCAGGGAGGTCTCCTCATTTCAAGCTTTTTTACTTGGCAGGGCAGGGTGTAAATTGTCAAACGTGCTGCTACAGTCTTGTGTAATCTAATCTCTATAGATTTAGGTTGGTTAATACAGTAGTAGTAGGTAGTCGCCGTCCATAACTCCATTTAATTGGGACATTCTTATTGCTTAGTCATGTAGGTAGTTTGATCCAGGTCCAGGCAATAAATTCGACTTTCATAGAACCAGATCGTTTCTCTTCGAATGGTGGACTAGTGCAATTAATATTCAAAGTCTCAACTAAAGAAACACAAAGAGTAGATTAATGCAAAAACAAAACTTGGACTTCGCTCGCTCTGGTTCGATTCAATCCTCCCCAAGCACTTCTACAGTCTTGTATGAATCACATCCCTAAATAGTAGAAAACAGACGCAGCAGCAAGGGGGAAAAACACATCTCAACGCCTGGTTATTCAGAAAATCCACCCATGTCTAGTTCATGTTCAACTCCCAAACCCATAGAGCATATTGAATGAACAGCAGCAAAAATCAACCTCGCATGAATGAGGGGAGGCAGCCTATTGAACTTGGGATTGCTCACTCTGCTCCTCAGCTGTTGCTGATTCGCTCGATTGGCCAGGCTCATCATCGGTAGGGTAAGTCTGATCATCAGGTGCCATTCCACCTGCCATTTCCAATACCAAACACGAAGCTCTTTATCATCTATGCACCATGAGAGCAATAGTGTGAATCGAAGGTGGCGCATTTATTTACCTTCGCCACGAGCATAAGCTGATCGCCTGGCTCTCGATTGCTGTTGTCGATTCGGCTGCAAACAAAACCCAGCAGAATCGAAATCCGAAAGAAAATGATCATCTTTTCTGAAATCAAGAGATCTCATATGAGGGAAACCCAAAACTGAGAGGAGAGTTTAATTATTTTTACCTGCAATTTGGGGCGGAGAGCTTCAAGAGGTCCTTTAGGCTTTTGTGCTCCTTGCTGCTCATATAACATTCAAATGATTACTTATTATGATACATAGGAATTAGGATAAAGAAACAAAAGCCTTCAGAACGGATTAAGGAAGGGGAAAATGGAGAGAACCTTTCCCAATGCCCAATCCGCAGAGTCAAAGAAAGCACGCTCATGATCCTAAACCAAACAAACGGATCAAACACTGACCGGAAGGAAAATCTAAGTCAGGGTCAAGAATGAATGTCCATTCTTTTTCTTCTCATTTCCACTAACCTTGGATATCAATGGCTTCTTCTTGGGCAAAATCCCTCCATACTTGCTCCGAATTATTTGCTCCTGCACAAAACAAAACCCACAAGTAATAAAAACCCAATCTGGGGAAAGCACCGGTATGAGCTGTTAGTACTCACCTCCTGCTCCGGCGAGGGAGAAGGGTTGTTATCGGCGTTTCCGTCGGAAACTTTGTGATCTCCGCTCTCATCCAATCCTTTGTTCTCAGCGTGTTGATCGAGTTGAGCACCCTCGTGCTCCATCATTTCCTTGTCTGCATTTCCACTCGACATCTCCGATTCAGAAAGCCTGAGCCAGCTCCCAGCCGAATAAAAAAAAATAAAAAAACGAAGGACGCGGTGTGAGCTGGATCCCAAAGAAATCGGAGGTTGCTAAATTGAATTGCCGGGAAATGATCTTTAATTGAAGAAGAAGAAGAAGAAGAAGAAGAAGAAGAAGAAGAAGAAGAATTCCAACCTCCTGTTTCCCTTTTCGGGGGTTCTGACTGATTACCTGAAGATTCTGAAGGATTATGCGACTCGCCGGAGACGAAAGTATTAGATACGGGAAGTGGGAGGGAAGACCGATCTTTGTTTTTTGATGGAGGCCTGTCTGCCTGAGATTCACGCAGAGATGGAGAGAAGAAAGAAAAAACAGAAGAGGCAGAAGACACATGACATGACAGACTGACTGCCCAATGCCCATCCATTCATGGCGCTGGGCACGGAGATGCGTCCGTTGGGTCAATGATTAGTCATGGGCCGGCCTCCTCCCTTTTCCTCCATTTATCGGCCTTCTTCGTTCAACCAACTGGGCTCTTGCTGGGTTAGCCATGCAACGTCAATATATGCACCCCTATCGTAACACCCGTGTGGGTAGTGCTGAAAATCCACACCAAATCTTAAGGGCAATTGCGGTTTAGATCGCACCGTATGATTTGGTTCAGAAAGTGAGATCATAACTATAATATGGTTTGATTGACGCTCTCTCATTTAATGTGTGGTCTAAATTGATCTGGACTGTGATAAATAGTAGTAAACGTGATAGACCATGATCCACTACCCTATACAAAAAAAAAAAAAACAACAATAAACATCATCTACACTTCGAAGAACAAGTTGCGACTAGTGACCAATCTAGCTATGGCGAGCAAGCAACCTGATCATCCTGTTATAGATTTCAGTACAGTCATACAAACTTTGTTGACGCTTCATCAGCCGAAAACCAATGGATTGCTAAGCAATCTCCTAATGAAAGAAGCATACAAAAAGAAAAGGAAAATATGGGAAACTCATCTCCACATGCCATGTGCGGAGTCTAGAGTTGATAATATAGAAACACAAAACAAAATTTATTTACCTAGATAAGATAAGGAAAATTCTTGCGAGTGAAGCGATCAGCCTAGTGATTCAAAATGACCTTGATGTCATCGAGGCAAGGACTGAGCGCGACTTCCAAACCACTCAGGAGAGTGAGAGAAGCAGTAGCACAAAAAAAAAAGATGAAACTATTTGCTGTGTATTTTATTTTAAGTCCACTTCACCGCACATATTTGTTTGTGGGTTAACTAGCGTCACTAAATTTTGTATCACTGGCATTTGGTTACTGAACCTTTTATTTTTATCCACAGAGGGAAAGGTCAGAGGGAGAGAGAAGAGTGAAGTTTTGTTGAACATGATTTATATAGTTTGGACGGTATCGTACCATACCTTATAGGCGAGGTCTATTTTGGACCATATATAATATTGTTTGGTCAATGATATGTGTTAGTCTCCCTATCCGGATAACATACCGTATATGTGGTCCGGTCTGGTACGGGCTGCATCGTTTTCCATCCCTACTTGTAGGAAGCAAATGTCCTTAAATATGTTATTGCGTGACAACCAAAGATGAGCCAAAAAAGTTTTATTTATGGTTGGACATGGAATAATATAAACTACCACTATTTTATATGAATAACCACTTTTATTTGACTGGTCCAAAGTACACTATTTCAATCACAAAAAGTGAAAAAAACTATCACCTGAATTGAGACCATCCAAGTTCCAACTCTTACCAACTCTGTTTTACTTCCTCATCTTTATTTCCTAGCATCCTTGCTAGCTTTACTTTATTCACTACCAGTAATAATTATTCTAAAATTTCATATGATTTCATTTCCGACTCAACCAAAATATCACAAAACATAAAATGGTGCATTCAAATACTAGATTTCCCTTGTGTAAGTCGAATATTTTGACAATTTAAACTATAAATTACTAATAAGGTGCTAAATTGCCAATGAGCCAAATGTGTAAACTGCTGCTCAAACAACTAGATCTCAAAAATTGCTCTGGATCGAAATTTTCGGAGAGGCGATTAGCAAAGCGCAGTTCCTCCTACGTTTGTCTCACGCTGATGGTTGCGATGGCCAAGTTGTTGGCTGACGGAGCCTTTGGCCTCCCGTCTATTTATGATCCTATTCCATGACAAAGTCACCCCCCATAAAACCATCATTTCCAAATCCGAAGGCGGACAGGGAAGCATTACAATTCAAGATATGGCCAAAGCCCACAACGACCTATCCCCAGGTGAGCTAGGCTCGAGACGATATCCTGATGTAGCTCAGGCCAGCCAAGAAGGGAGAAGCCCCATTAGCAAACCTCAATCGCCTGCATCAACGCAGGGAACAATGTTGTGAGAAGGATGTTCAGTGATGTTGTACGTATGGATAACTGGTACATCACAGACTCATACTCGAAGGAGGTTGCTAAAGCCATTTGGGAGGATGGGAAATAAACATGCTTTCACGAAGATATGGATCCTATTTGCCCTCCCATCCATTTCACATTAGCAGAGAAGATAAAGTTCAATCGAAAATGACGCTCCGTGCTAGTTGTTAAGGTGTTGGGGCGAGTTGCATCTTACACTACGATCGCTCATCATCTGAATATGATATGGACTAAGGCTGAAGCTCTTCAAGTCACCTCAGCGAAGAACGACTACTATTTTGTAAGATTTACTAGTGGTATTGACTACCGACAAGCTCTCACGGGAGGCCATGGATGATGGGAGAGAACTATCTAATGGTGCATATTTGTTATAAG